GGCAGATGAAAATGGCAGCAGCTGCCAATAATGGTGTTAACGCAGTCGGAAATAACATGCTACCAGTCCATCACAATAATATGACGGTCGACAGGCAGAATTCATATGGCGGTTACGATCCTTTGGCTCATGGCGGTTACGGAACCGCTGATGATTACGCACATTATCCTCAAAGCAATCATGGAGGTATTAATAATGGAGTTGATGACTACCATATGAGGGCTAGCCAGAATCCGTCCAGGCAGGAATACGTCAGCGATCCCTATGCAGCTGTGCATAAGCCGAAAAAGCGAATGGAACAACATATGGGTAAGTTGGACAACGTCAGAATATAACGACTCAGTTTGTTTTTAAGTAGAAGTCATGAAATGATAGGAGAAATGAATGAAATGAAGAAGAATGAATTACCAAGCTTATATTTCAATGTAACGATTCAATATTTATTGATTTGATATCTTACTGAAGAAGAAGTTTATGTCTACTCCAGGAAATCCGACTCATTTCCGAGATTTTTTTAGCAGATTTCTATCAATGCTGCATTCAGCTTAATCAGTTTTTTAATTATTATTTGCAGATTCCCCTTACCATGATGTGAGTGGTCTCCCAGACCCCTACATGGATCAGCCGATGGAACAGCCAATGGACCAACCGATGGAGCCAATCGAGCAAAAGCCGCCCCAGCACATGTCCCTGAGTTACGACGAGAGCCTCGAGAGCGGATATTCCACACCAAATTCAAGGAACCGTCGAGTGATTCGTGAAATAATTGTCTGAGTGGACGTTAATCCGACTAACGGACATGATACCCTTAAAAGACCTTACAAGACTTCTGTCAGTTGAGACCAAAAGTTTAACGAAAACATGTCTCCTATATAAATTACTTAACCAAAGTGTTCAAGTACTTAGTAGGATATATCTTTTTATAACAATTGACAAAAGGTGGTTTTTTGAAATTTACTAAATACGAATCTAAAGCCTATAATGCGTCTGTTATAATTAATTTTAGCGGAACAGAAGACTGCCACAAAAATATCAATGACCTAATTAAATTTTAAAGGTATTAAAAATTATTATGCCTATAAATTAAAACTGAGTAAAGCCGCTAGTTTATTATGATGTAACTAAATTTATATAATACCATTTGTGCATATGCCTAAATGCTATTGAATAAATTATTTTACGTAAGTTTGTAATATATAAATATACTACAGAAACGGCTGCAATTGAATCTGTGAATGGACGATATATATTTAAGAGAATTATTTTATGTATTCTACTACATCGATGGAAATCTATATTATATCTAAATTTGAGGTATGTGAGAACGAATCTTTAAATATACTAATTTCATAAATATATAAATAAATCGTGTATGTACAAACTTGTCAGATTAATTACATCTGATATAAAGCATTCTAAATGTTAATATTTGTAGTTTTTATGTTTAAAATTTTAATTTGTTAAGTAGGTTTTATATTATTTTATCTAAATTACTATTGAATAATTTTATTTAGTATAAATTTATTCAATGATAAAAATTTTATTACCTTAAAGATCTGAGAAAGTTGGATATTATAACACCATTTTGATATGAATGTAAATATATACTATAAATGTAAATATGATTGTAATTGTAAGTGTGTATTAAAATAATAGCCATTTATCAACGCTAACACGGTACAATGCAAATTTCTGATATTTAGTTTGAAAGCCTAATTAGTATTTTTATGTTTTTAGTGCCAAAAAATATTTAAATATTTAAACCCATCGTCCCATATTTAACATACGAAATTATTGCCTTGTGTACTTATAGTTAATGCCATTATAATTTACATTGAAATTTACAAAATAGATATTATCAGTATTTGTAACGAAATCAGCATTAATGCTGTCATAAGATTTGTCTATGAACTTGATGTGATATTTTCGCTCAAGTTGGCTAGGACTCCGGTGGCAAAATTAAATTTTGATTATAAATAATATTGTTCGAAGTTTGTAGAAATATTTATAGAAAGAAGTTAGTTGCAAACAAAATATAAATGAAAGCACTGCCCGGTTTTTATGTTTACATAATTTATTTTCTATTTATTGAATTAATTTTGTTAAATAAAACTGTTTTCTAGATCATTACTTCGAAGATTTTTATTTTATAAGAACCAATATATTTGCCACTTAGGTCCTAGCCATTTATTGGAGTTGGTTAAGGACTTTTCTTACGAATCTTATATTTTGACAATTCTATGAAAAATATACTGTTTTATATTGTTTAATATAATAAAAAATCTACTGTGGTCGCAAAGTAATATTTTTAATTGTTTAAGCAATATCTATGGACGTAATTTGAGCAATTTAATTGTATTGGAAATAAAATTTAATTATAAATTAACGTATAAAAATTTTGAACACAATTTTAAGAAACTTTAGATATTTTTCAGTACTATTTTGTAAACAATTTATCAAATTTCTCGTAGTATTTTTTGCTTTCAATTCAGACTTTTACCGTAAACTTTTTGTGAAAATGTATAGATATGATAGAAATCGATCTGCTACCACTTTGTATTTTTTTTTGTTTTGAACGATATAAAATAATACAATTTTATTTAAAAATGTTAAGACTTTACCGACTCCATTAATTGAAATGTTTTATATTTTATCTAATGTCTTGTAAATAATATATAGTTTTAAACACAAATTTTAATGTTGTGTTCATCGTATTTTAATAATTATTTGCCATATTAATATTTTTATATTATAAATTTAATGAAGCTGTTCGCTTTTTGTGTTCATAATCATAACTTGTCTTGTAAAACCATGAACCGATTTTGATCAATGTTATTTGTTAACAATAAGTAGGATATGTTTACAACTATGAATATGCACATAAAGACTTAAGAGCTCTTATGTATCACAACTAGATATACACATATATAGCACCTCACAAAAAAGTTTACTCTGTAAATATAAATGTTAATTACTTTGAAATGTTTGATTGATCAGAGTATTTACCATAAATTAAGTGATAGTTTCAAATATTGATTGTCCATAATTTATTGAGAGTAAGATGATGAATTATATCGATTTAGATCTCAGAAAATCAACAATATATTTTTTTTAATCTCATAAAAAATGAGTAATTTAAATTATTAATAAGATAAATATAAGATTATTTCGATATTTGTAAATATGTATTTAATTTAAGATTTTTATGTTTCAAACAATTTTTAACGAATTATTCATATGTTTAGTAAATATTGCATTTTGTGTGAAGATAATGAAAAATTTCAATAAGCAAACTTAATATTGTCTATAAATTTTCAGCCTTAAATTTTATCAAAATCTTAGGAATAAAACGAAAAGGATGAAACTATCGATCACAGCTGCTAATGATTAAATGATCTTTGTTATTATTAAATATGATTAGGTTACTTAAGGAACTACTTAAATATAAATTTTATACTTATTTAGATATTCAATATGTTTATTTCTGTCAAGAATATGTGTGAATGCATTTACAATGTAATTGTTTTTATATTTAGGATGAAACATTGTATGCCTGAATTATGCATTTTTTGATGTAAATAAAGAAATTTTATTATATACTAAAAATAATAGTTGACTTTTCATTTACATATTATAATTATGTTTATTTATTTATTCTCGTTATATTAATATTTTTTAAGGGCTTGTGCAGTAAAATAAGATACCACAGAAAATCTAGTATATGTCTCAAATTATATAAAATACTCATTTTTGAAGTTTAATCACAACTTCAATATTTTTTTTCAACTCTGTTTTATTTCTGATTGCTGAATAAAACAGAAATTAAAAAAAAAATTTTTTGAAGTTGTGAATTTTTACTATATTATATAAACATCCACTAATATGGTTTCCTAATAAATAATAGTTAAGCTACGTTCGATACCCGCCTCGGTCAGCCTGGTATCAAGCAGTATTTACATCATGAGATATAGATAACAGTATGTTTCTACATGTAAATAGTCATTTGCTGCTTTCTAATGGCTTTCAGTATCGATGGATTGCATTCTATCAACGTCGTTCTAGTAATAAGGTGCGCACGATACAACTTAAAAACAAATAGTTCTGAAAAGTTATAAAAAACTGTATCATAAAATTAAAATATGTATTAAATTAATAATCCACTCGAATAAATAAAATTTATCTAAATAAGAAAAATATGTTCCTATTAGCAGAATTTTGATAATTTAATCATAATTGAAATGAAAATAATTGAATTGAAATATTGATAATTTAATCATAAAAACATGTATAAATAATGACTCCATCTATTTCAAATATTTTAGTTTCTACCAAAGTTACAATCCTTGATAAAATTAGCAATATTTGAATCCATTGATTTCATACCTCCTGCGCAGGCGCATGTACGCCCTGTAACCAAGTACAAAAACACCCCCCAACCCCTAACAACCCGAAACAAAGTGTCAAAGAAGTGTCAAAATTTACAAAAAAATGTGAAGTATCATTAAATATTATTCAAAATTTGTAGTTAATTTTTATGCGTATTTAAATATTGTACCTAAGTGATTATAAATAAACAAACTTTCTGGACTTGGCCATTCAGAAAAACGGATGCAAATTAAAGTAATTCGAATAATTAAATAGCAGATGGTGTAATATAAAAGATAAGAATTTTGAGGTTTTTATTATTATAAAGTTAATAGCGCACAAATCACTGTGATACTACTAAAAACATGTCAAGATGATGCACAATCTAATTATTAGAGAAAAAGGTTAAATGTGTTATTTGCGAATGCAGAAGGAGATACGAATTCTTATGTTTTGGTGTTTTCGTTTGTAGTTTGCGTTTTGCGATAAATTATATAATTTGTTATAAATTAATAAGGTATGGTGATACAAGATATTTCTATAGTAATGTTATAATACGACTTGTTTTTTATATAAAATTAAATTGTTATATTGTTTTTATAAATTTCTAATTGTGTTCAGTGTTAAGAGTTAAAATGGGTAATTTGCAAAGCGATTCGAAAGGCCAAAAGGGGGCAAGGGCCCAATCACGTGGTAAGGGTCTTATGAAGACCTTTAATAAAAAATCTCCCGCCAAAGAAAGTCAAAAAACGATATTATCGAAAAAGTCGCAACAATCGTTCGTGAGTCTGGTCTCGGAGGCCGAAGCCAGCGCGGACGCACCCGAGCGGATAACGGTTCAGTCTGCAGGGTCAACACACGCACAAGAAGTCTCTTTTGAATGTGTTGGTGTTACGAGCAAAGACAGCGAAGGGAAAGAAGCGGACGATCCGGCATCGAAAGATGAAAAAACTATTGAAAACACTGGATTTATTGTGACAGATTCGTGGAAAGAAGTCGGAAAATATTGTGGCACTAATATAAAACAAACACCTACAACTGACGAATCGAGTTCCGATTCCATTTTCACCGATCCTCAAACACCTGTAGGATTCGAAGCCGAAATTAATCAGTGTTATTATTCTCGTGAAAGTGTTGACGATGGACAGATAGTGCTTAATTTAAATCCGGAAGAAACAATGAGACGGAATAAAGTGGGCATTTTAGGTGCCAATGAAAAATCAGAGAAAAGTAGTTTGTTGGAATCTCATTTGAGTACTGACTCAAAGGAAAACACCAAAAATTTTTCTGCACCGTTTACTGTCTCGAGACATAAAAAAGTTGAATTAACTTCGACGAAATTATCAGACAGCAGTAGTACTGCACCAGGTCAGTGTCATTTATGTAATGATAATTAATTTTTTGTTTATTATCTGCACAAATTTATTCCATTGCTCAATCTGTGAACCACGATCCACTAAAATGAAAAAAATATAAATTGAACATAATAATATTTGTTGCACTATTCAGCTTAAGCTTGATTCTATACATAAGATATTTTTATATATTAGTTAGGCAAAATTATTTTAATTAATCAATTTTTAACAACTTTAATGCAATGGATTTTACAAACAATACTTCTTTGTGTATCACCATAATATTCAATAATTATTTTTATTCGTTATGAGTAATGCATTTACTATTTTGTAAATATTTACTATATTTACATATAAATAAATACATGTATACTCAATGTGCGGAACCACGGTCCACATAAATGAGAAAATTATAAATTGAATCTAGTATTTATTAAAATAATACACATAATAATACGCAATAAGTACATATTTATATATTTTAATTAATAGAAATTATTTGTTTTAATTAATCAACTTATTGATTAACAGCTTTAATTCAAAAGATTTGATCACATAGTTCGCGAAGTGCGAATACTTGTGTTTATTCGTTATGAGTAATGTATTTATTATATTGCAAATATTATACATAAGGTAAAAATTTCCCATCATTTTTATAAATATATGAATATCTGAAGGAATATCTATATCGAGAAAAAATATATATACCAAATCAGGAGAAAACAAAAACTTAAAACATTAATTTTAGTTTTTAAAAAATATTTTTAAATCTTGAATGAAGAAATACATGTCAAATATATTTTAAACTTGCTGAATGATGACACACATCATGAGTCTAAACGTAAATTAATAAAGAATGTTTTTCTTTTAACCTTTTTTTTTAATTCGACTGGGCTGCTAATTATTTAATATATATATATATATATATATATATATATATATATATATATATTTGAATATTCTTGAATTTGATGTTGATATATATGTTTAATTTGATTAATATTCGGGTAACATCAATAAAAATAATATTTTTATTGATGTTACGCCCGAATATTAAACTCAAATTAAACATATATATATATATACGTATATATATATATATATATATATATATATACATATATAATTATTATGTGTTTAGTATTTTTAATCATTATATTTGACGGGAGTTTAGATTATAATAGTGATAATTTTCAATTGCTGATCGATTTCTATAAAGTCAATTTTCAATTATTTTCTTTGCATTTATATTTTTTCTATTTATTTATAATTTATTTATTAATTACAGATTATTTATAATATAATTTTATGTTTTCAAGCTTGTATATTTTTTGGAGTACGCCGCTGTTCGATTTTTGTCAAAATTTATCAATAAGTCAGGTCGTTCAATATTCTATAAACAAACATTTCCATGTAATCTACATTAATTTTGCTATCAAAATGAGTTTATCAAAACTGCACGATGACAGCATTTATTTTATTTACATAGTATTTTATTAACTAACAGCGATAATCGAAATTTGTTTTTAATTAAACAAATACCGAATTATATTTCATTATAATAAATTATAAACTATTATAATTAAATGTTGCGCGCTATAATAACAATAATCGATATTATATTTATATATATATATATATATATATATATATATATATGTATGTAAATATTATTTTGCAATCATAACCTAAAAAAAATTAAATATTGCAACAGACTATTTTGAACTATTGAATCTGTTCTAGAATCTTCAATGTTATTATTATTACATCGTTTAATTATAGTTTCTAAGTGATATTTGGAAATTTAATTTGATCTTGTTTTTTTTTTTCAAAATATATTTTCTATTTTATTATTTCCATTTAATGAAATGATTGCCTCTCCTTACTGTTTTTCACGGTTGGAGTAAAAACGGAAACACACTCGAAAGCGCATTGAATATTTTATGCTGGTGACCCTATACAGAGATGAACTATATTTTTATACATGTTTACATCAGAAACATATGTAGAATTGTTTTTCCATTTTTCATAGATATGATAATATTATTAGATATATAAAAATAAGCACAAAAACTTAAACCAAATTTGGAAATTCAACGAAATCCATTAGTGGTACCCCATTCCAGATTTTAAATACTAATAATAAGAAAAGTATGTACGCTGGACCGAGAATCTGATCATAGATTTTTTTATAAAAATTTACAGCAGAAATTATTTAATTTAGCTAGCAGAATTTTATAAAATACAGGATTTTTAAAAATCTGTTTTATATATTAGGTTTATAATTATTCCGAATCAATGCAAAACCATTGTTTTAAATATTAGGTTTTGGTTTATAATCATTCTGAATCAATGCAAAACCATTGTTTAGGTATTTATTGACTCGTTATAAAGGATTACGATACTACCGTGTTTATTTTGTAAATCACAAGTAGGTATTATTATGAAATTTTATCAAGCTGATTTATGATTCATATACCTGTTCAAACAAGACATTTTAAGAAAATAGAAAGTTAAACATTGAGTCACCGTATAATTTTGTTTATACAGAGTAATTTGTGATAATTACATCTCAATATTGTTGACATATTTCTAAAGTTATTATGATTGAGATGATAAAATATTGTTTTCAGCGATTTCTATGATATTTGTAAATCATATTTATAAATGTAATGTGAAATTTAATATAGTAATTAACATAATTAATAAATTCCAGTTACAATTTGGTAACAATATATTAATGATCTATATAATGTGCAGCTAAATGATCTTCCTGCTATATTAATAAAATAAAACTCGTGTAACTGCTATTTTGTCAAGAAAATATTGATAACATTTTCACTATTTTTTCTAAATGAAGTTTATTAATGTGTATAATTAAATCACTTTTTATAGACCTATAATATTTTATATTTATTTTAGAACATAAAACTTATCGCTATGAAAGTTTAATTAAAATCAACAAAAAAGCCTTTTCAACAATAAATTGTGAAGATTCAGCACGGCGGGTTTTTACATGATTGTCTCAACTGATTATGTTAAACAGTTTTTGGATTATCAAAATTGGTTTCAAAGAAATGGCTCGGACGATCATCGCAAAAAACTAATAAAAACAATAATTTCTTATAGAGTTTCATCGAGTGGCTTTTAAAATTTTAAATCGGTTTAGCTATATTTGGGAAACCTCGGAAAATGGTTAAAATTGTGCCCACTTACACACACAAATACACTTTTAAACAAAAATATGATAATAATTGATACTATAATGTAACTTTGGTTTCTTGCATTATTTTTGCTTTATTATATTATTTTTAACAAATGTTTTTTTCCTCTAGATACAACTAAAGAAGTGAAAAGGCATGCATCAGTTGGCGGAGAACAGGGTTTTGGAGACAATTCCTCAAATGTTTTGCGAAAGGTAGCATCGCTGACCTTAGACCGAGCAACCACCGAGTCTAAGGTCGCTAAAACAAGATTAGTTCCCGACAAATTGGACCTTAGGTCTTGCGAAAAATTTGAAGGTATCATATCCAATAAATCTTTAGTTTATCCACTCGGATTTAATTTAAGAAATAAAAAACTAAATTCAGTCATTTATGGGCTTAAAACAAAATTAATTAATTCTGTTTAATACTTTATAGAATTTTTTCTATCAATTTATATATTTATTTGAACACACTCGCCATTGGATTAGGTGTAAGTTAATCATAGTTGTCGCTTAATATTTTATACAAAATTTAATATATTGAAATCTATTTTGCGTAAGATTTTATCTTGTTGATAACATATCATATTTGATATTTTATTGTTTATGTACCTAGCTCATGTATAATATGTACCACGGCAAGATAAATTTTTCACGATGATAAGACAAGTAGTGCTGTGTATAAGAGAAAAAACAAGAAATTGATTACTTTTTATTGGCTTTTGCTATGATTTTTAAAAACCCTTTAATTAACTTCCCGTAGGGTAAGTTATAGTAATCGCAAAAAAATCGAAAATGAACATTTTTATATATCTTTGCGTTTCAAAGGTTTTTCAACATTTTGGCATACCTTAGAAAAAATGTATGTGTGTGCGTATGTGTGTTTGTGTGCGGATACAAGTTTTCGTCGACGATTTCGGGAACACCGATCAACCGATTTGAATAATTCAAAAAAAAATCGATTCGATTGATAAGGAGTCGTGCTGACTAGTTTTTGGCAAAGGCAGGTCTAGCCGTTCCGAAGATACGGGGCAAAAAGTGCCAAAAAGTTAACTCAGTTTTTAAGAGAACGGAGCGTGCGATTTTAATAATTCAAAAAACGTTTTACTTGTATTGACAAGATGAAGAACTGACTAAATTTTTGGGAACGCAAGTCCAGCGGTTAAGGACTCTCAATAAAAATAAGTTTAAAAAAATGTCATTTGCCGGTCAAAAATGTTTATTGGACACATGTACATCAAATTATCAGATATTTTATATAGATTTTAATAAAGTGTACACATTTTGTACAATTTTTTTTTGGATTCCGTACCAAAATTTTTAATTACTGTACGGGAAATTCCAGGAATTTCCCTTAAGGCACGATGTCATTGACCCCACTAGTTTTGATTTTTGAAAATATGGTTTTCACATGTAAAAATTGCGAACACTAGGTTCAACGTACAAACAACCAGGTACCAATCAGTAATGATATGGGTTTTGACTTGAAAATATAGGTGTAAATATGCACAAAAATAGCCTTTCGGTGGTAATATATCACATAACTATTAGACATATAATAATATTGTCAATATGTGAAAAAAAAGAATATTCAACCTTTGGATTGCTTATTATAACATTGTTAAAAAATAAATCACAGCAAATTATAGAACACTACGGAATAAGAATTCGAGTTCTGATTGCTAAAAAAAATAAAAATGATATATTAAAAGGGCTTACTTCATTATTCAATATAACATTGTAATACAGCAATATTCAATTATAAATTCTTTGATCTTTATATGTTAATTTTTAATCTATCTAATAATAACTTTACCATCATATTCAAAAGTTAAATACTATGATTGAAAATTATTTGCACTCACATGCAACTGTGATGTCTTCATGTCCATATGAAGTACTTTACAAAAATATATATAAACTTTACAAAAAGTGATGCTACATGAATTGAACGTACAGAACCATCGTGTAATTAATAATTAACATGGTCAAATATTATAAAAATATGACGTTAATATTTACATTAACTATCATTTACCATTTCACTTTTAATTTAATTAGCACATGTTTAATCGAAAATTTATACAATTCCCACCACTATGCATGATTCTTCTAACTGGAATTTTAACATTTAACTATTGTGAATGAAAGCAAGAGGTTGTGGTCGGTGTTGTTTTTTGAATTTAAGTAAAATAGTAGTTAATTTATAAAAAATTTAATATGGATAAACGAAAGTTGTCAAATCATAAAAATAATCGTAGGAATGGTGATATAATTAATTCAAATTCGAATTCCAGGTTTGTATTAAATAGTTATTTGCTCATGATCTGGTTGCTTAAATTATTATTTAAAAAAAAATACATACATATATGTATATATATATATATATATATATATAAACACAATTATGTACAAATTCACATTTCTTCAATCGTATAAGTAGCTTATATCTGTAAAAACGAATCTATTTTTTTAGTAATTTAATAGCAATGAGAAAATAAAACAATCCTATGAGCTGTTGTGCTGTTTGTTAGAATCTAAAATATCTTAGCATATTTTTGAATTTTATACTAAGTGTGAGTGGCATTTTGTCTTAACACAAGCTGTGTAAGAACTTTCCGATAAGTGTAAATAATCAACTTAATCAATAAGACATCAGTAAATATATCAATTTATAAGTATAGCAAGTTCCTGTAGGACCACATAATTTTCGAAACTATTGCAGTTTGAAACATAAAAAATATAGGAACAAAATATATAAAATTTGCAAACACGACTGGTAATATAGTATATACTAAATATAACTTGTATGTGCTATAATAATTTGTTTTTTAAAAAACTTCTAGTAATCGAACATTCTCATGGATTTTTGCTCTTATTGTTAGTTGTTACTCTGATCAATACGTGTGGTGCAGGAGTTGCCTTTTACTACCCATTACTCTGAATTTACGATTGTTTATGAACGAAGGCAAAAGAAATATGCGAATGCCAATAAATTCGTCATTCTTATATGGGCATGAACATATTCTGGACTTATTTGCAATAAAACTATAATTAGAAATTGAAAATTCTTCGATTATGTCACGCACGGCGTCTGGTCACGCTCTGATAGTAAAAAATCTAAATAAAAATAAAATAATGGTAATGAGTTTCTTTTTTTCTTGGATAAATTTATTTGCGGGGTCTATTTAAAAGTAGCAGATTGAAAATTTCTTAGTTTCGATATTTGATAGTAGTTGAAACACGATGGTGTATTAGTATTTTGAATAATATATTCGAAATCTAAGGCTACTTATTTGAAATTATTGTGCACTTTATAAAATATTACATTTTTTTCTATAATGATCATATATACGTCTGTAAACGTTATTGGAGAAACATTAGCAGGCATCCCATTCAAATAGATATAATTCCCTCGAGAAACATGTTAAAAAATACCAGTGAATCTCCAATTATAAATGAATTGCATTTGTATTTTAGCAACTACTATGATACATTATGATTTTTCATCAATCAAGATTGTAAAAATTTCACCTATTTTCAATCTGCTTTAGCAGAAATGTAAAATTTATTAAGGAATGTGAATTTATGTTGCTCTTAATTGAAAATAATGTATAAAATACAGAATCAAAAACACCTTTAGCAAACCATTAAAATTTCTGGAAAAGCTTTTTGAAAACTTATATCCTAATAAACCATAAAAAGTTAAGTAAAGATAACGATAAATCTCTGACCTTTCTCAATATATTTCAAAATTTTCAGGGTAATGTGTGTAGCAATCGGCTCTTATATCTGTCGTTCTCTCATTATTAAAAAAATGTTTGTATATCGAGCTTTCAATCTCGGTTTATATTATATTTATTTCCGTGTATCCTTCATCGCCACCGCTTGAAAACCTTTGTTTATTATCGCCTTCTCGTAATATACATGCATAATCCATATCAACGTCCTATTGCAGGTCAGATGCTCGTCAATTGGTTAGTGTCGAACGCGACCGCGGACCAAACGCAGCAGGTCGTCGCAAATTCCCGCAACCAAAAAGGTCATCTGGTCAGCCCGACGAAAAGTTATCAGAATGGAAAACACAATCAGGCCGAATCAGCCAAGTTGGTTCAGGATCTGAGACAAATAATGGTCGGATGCTGCAATTGTCTACTCGCGGCCGGCGTACTGAAGCAAATTGCAGGACCACAAGAACCTCTGGACGCACAGTTCCGAGTGAGTTTATTTTTGTCAATAAAAATAGAGATATCAGGCATTAATTGTTTTTTGGCTCTGTGTTAGAAAAATCTTGCAATATTATTTGTTTGTTCACATAACAATATTGTGATTTCGATTAAATAAAATTAAAGCAAAATTGAAGACTGAAATACCACAAGCTTAATTTATTTGTTTACCAAAAAATTACTACAGATCTGTATCTAAGTTATTCGTAAATGTAAAGAATATTATTTGCTAGACTATAGTTTTTCTTTATTTATTCAATCAATAATTTAATCAATAACATTATTATTTTTATTTTCCTTGCATGGTTTGATATTAATTTATTTAATTCAATCTTCAATGTCCTCCATGGATTTCATCAATTTCTAATGTAAATCATTTCTGTCATACTTTGTTTCTAAGCTTTGAGGACAATTATATAAACTGCTATATATGAAATAGCATTTTTTCGTCAGTAATAAATATAAATGTATAAATTTTGGTCAATTAAATTTCTTATAAAAAGAGCCACCATATCATACTGCCCTACAGCCAGATCTGATGTACTACTGGAACCATTCAGAATCCAAGCAGAAACCAGCTGCGTCAACCACGCCAGGGCGCTTGAAAGACAAGACTCCCCAAAAGAATCCAGATCTTACATCTACAAAGAATGATACCGAACTTTATGTGACTGCTAACAACACCCAAGATTCATTAATAGCTACACCTAAAAATTTTGGAAGCCGCCTACCTCGATCATCTGTCAGCACTCCTAAAGAACCAAAAAGCCCAGATGATAGTTGGTCGAAAAAGATTTTCGAGAAAGATTCTCGCATAAGTGAATTAGAAGAAACAGTTTCTCAACTCAGAAAAGAATTACAAGAATCCAGGACTTTTATAAGTATCAACGATCTCACGTCAGCAAATGCTTATAAGACTCCACCGCCTATAAAAACTGTGGCTGACTCTAGTCTGCAGCTTGGTAGCGCTGGTGAAGATTCCATAACATCGCCTGTGAAAATATCAAGGCGCACAAACAGCACTAATTTATGTGACTTAAAAGTTGTTACAAAAACCTTTCATGTAACACCACCTGCAGAAAATATTGATAATAAAACAAGTGATCGCAAAAAGATGACTGAAACTTCAATAAATTCACCCAAAGTGAACACCTCGGAAAACTCCTCCAAAATCACAAATAAAAATACATCCTCAAATGAGAAGACTGATCAAATAAGAATACAAGATTCTGAAAATGTTTCAAAAAAGACAGGAACTGCAAATAGGCCTGAAGGTAAAAATATTTCATATTTACATTTAAATATAAAAAATCTAAATTTGTAAGTTTTTCATTTGGCTAATAATGTCATATTATTATATAGATGTTTATCACCCACGTACTTCATGGACGTTTATAATTAGCTGTTGATTATCGCCATTAGCACGTCTGCTAATGAAGTGTTGCTAATTTTTTAACTCTTCAACACTTAACGCTCAAAATTTTTGGTGTATGCCATTTTATTAATTAGTATATTATGCTAATAACATCTCAAGCACCATACTTCTGATTAGGGAATTCTCAATTCATGAAATTCTTGTTCTAACATTTTGATTTATCATTTAATTTATTCATATTATGTATAACTGAATAATTAAAATGGCTAAATTGTAATAATTTTCAGAAAATGCAACTTTGTCTCCTGTTGTGCCTATAAAAGTTCAACAATTTCCTATGAATGGAACAGAATCAAGACCTCCAATCGGCCCGTCATCATCCGCGGATGCAATAGGACCTTCAACACCTATACCTCCACCTCCACCGCCGCCCATGCCAGAAATTACGCCCCCAGCGCCTCCGATGCCAGAAATTGTGACTTCTGGAGTGGGACCACCACCTCCACCCCCGCCGATGCTTGGAATGGGACCTCCACCGCCTCCGCCAATGCCTGGAATGGGTCCTCCACCACCGCCAATGCCTGGTATGGGTCCTCCGCCGCCGCCAATGCCTGGTATGGGTCCCCCGCCGCCTCCTATGCCCGGTATGGGTCCTCCGCCTCCGCCGATGCCCGGTATGGGTCCTCCACCTCCGCCGATGCCCGGCATGGGTCCTCCGCCTCCGCCGATGCCCGGTATGGGCCCTCCGCCTCCGCCGATGCCCGGTATGGGCCCTCCACCTCCGCCGATGCCTGGTATGGGACCTCCGCCGCCGCCGATGCCTGGTATGGGACCTCCGCCGCCGCCAATGCCTGGCATGGGACCTCCGCCGCCACCAATGTCGGGAATGGGACTGCCTCCGCCGCCACCTCCTATGGGAGGTCCTCCGCCACCTCCGATGGCTGGTGTCGGTCCACCACCTCCGCCGCAGGCACCGATGCCATTTCCGACACCGCCTCCAGGCGGTTGGAACGATGCGCAGAGGGCAAGTGAGTCCCAGAGTTATCAATATGCACAACATACAATGGGACACGCTAATTTTAATTTAGGTGACAGTTGCTTTTATTTCCTTCTGTTCTATTATGTTTAATTTGAGTTCGGGTTATTTTTTATATCGAAAGATATACATATTGAACATATTCAAATTTATTTTGATATTATTTATGACTTACGTAAGCATATGTGTAAATATCATGAGCATTTCATTACACAGTTTTGTAAGTTTTGCTTATATTTAGAAGATGTAATTTTAGTTTATTCTTTACAAATTATTTACTATTATATTTCACTTGTATTTATTTATTTCTGTTACATTTTTATGACACATCCTACCATATGAATTATGATGGCCTAATAATAACTATTGTAAGTATTTATTTGACAAATAATGCATGATGGTTTATTACGAATATAATAAAATTCTTAGAGTTGGTTTTTGTTGAAATTATGACTACCGTAATGGCTCCAAGCAATATCTGCTTCTTACTCTATACTCGCATGTTTGCACATATTCAAGTATATTAAAAGAATTTGCTAGAAAGTTTGTTCAAATTATTTAAAGTCAATGATTTAACTAATTATCAATGAAACAGGCTTAAGAAAACCTCCAATTAATCCTCCGGTTCCAATGAAACCGCTGTATTGGACAAGAATTATAACTTCGAAACCTGCTCCGGTCGCAGCCACAGAGATTAAAAAGGAAGATTTATGGCAGGTAAAATATGAATGTATTTAATTAGTAAATATAAAATATATATGAGAAATAAAAATTTTGAAAATTTCAAGAAAAGAAAAATACTATTTAAATTGTAAAGGCCGATTTAAAACTAGTTTTAATAGTGTTACCATTTATGATGGCATATTTATTTTAATATTCATCAGTATATTGGCGGAAAGCTCGCCAAAAAATTTTATGTCTTGAGCAAATCAAAATGATAAAAATTTAAAATTTTTGCATATTTGCAAACGTATTCACTTTTTCTCATAAAATTTTATTATTAAAGGATTTGGAGGAGGCAAACATTAGTAATTTGCAAAAATTTATGAATTTATTTTCGCGACAAGTTGTGACTAAGAAAGCGCCAGTTAAAAAAGTTGAAAAACCAAAGAAAAATGTTGCCGTCAAGATTTTGGATAGCAAAAGGTCTCAAAATGTTGGTATATTGGCACATAGTTTGCATGTCGATTTTGCTGAAATTGAAAACGCAGTTTATAATTTTGATACATCTGTAGTTAATTTGGAAGCTCTGCAGCAAATTTACGAAGCGGTAAGTAACTTACGAAGCAATAAAAGATTTGTAATATGAATGAATAATAAAATTATTTCTCTATTTGTTTTATTGCAGAGAGCTACTCCTGAGGAATTGTCTATGATTAAAGAGCATGTTTCAAATAATAAAGAAGAACCTTTAGATAAACCTGAACAATTTCTGTATGATTTATCAGAAATCCAATGTTTTGCGGAAAGAATTTCATGTTTTATGTTTCAAGTCGAGTTCGAAGATAGTGTTGCAACATTATCCAATACGCTCTCCAATTTAAAAAGTTTATGCGAGGTAATTTATAATTTAGTCATTATATTATAATGAACTTGAAAATTAAATTATATTCAATTTTAGATAATGCTTAATGGAAAGGAATTGAAACAAGTATTTGGCATAATATTAAAATTAGGGAATGTTATGAATGGCGGTAATAGAACGAGGGGGCAAGCTGATGGATTCGGATTGGAAATTTTGGCCAAACTTAAGGATGTAAAATCAAAAGACAATCAAGTAAGTTATTTTTGTAATATCACACATTTGAACCTTATTAGATTATTGCTTCATTAATTATGAATTAATGTAGATAACGTTGTTACATTTTATTGTGGAAACATATATGGACGAATCCAAAGAAGAGGCGTGGAATGTGGCCCTGCCAATTCCAAATACATGGGACGTAAGCAGGGCAGCTGAAGTAGATTTTGAAAACTTAGCTAAAGTTATAGATCAACTTAAAGTTAAATTAGATGGTGAGTAAAGATCGTCATCATAATAATATTTTTTTTAATTAAAATCATCAACTGCCATAGTTTTTATTCGCAGCTTGTACCAAGAGAACACAGAAAGTATTAGACAATTCATCGCCGGAAAATATACAACCATTTAAAGATAAAATGGAAAGCTTTATTCAAAACGCGAATGAAACTATAAACAACGAAAGAACTTCCATGCAAGACATAAAAAATAAATTTATAAAAACAATGTGCTTTTTTTCCTTCAAACCAAAGACGGGGCCGCTGGAAAGCTGTCCCACCAACGAATTTTTTTCACTGTGGATTCCATTTTGTAAAGATTTTGAGCAAATTTGGAAAAAAGAACAGCAGAAACGATTAAAATTAAAGTAAGTTAAGCTACAGATTTCAAGATTTTTGAGCAATTTCATTACATTGTGATATATATTTTTCCAAATATTTATCGCCATACTCAATCTCAAAATCCTCTGAAATTTTATGATCAATGTATTTCTAGCGCGTAAAAGTATTTTATATTCATCATTATTTTTATCTTGAGTACTGATCATAAATAATAATGATATATGAAATAAGATTTAATTAGATAAAATACATATACTTATTAGAGAAATTCTATTACTATTCTAAAGTAAAAAATAATACAAAACAAGCTGAACAATGATTTCTTACGAATATCCTTGCATAATTTTAAAATTACACTTACCAAAAACACGGAATAGAATGAACATAGTTTTGTTGAATCATTGTTTTTAAATAATTTCATATTTTAATTGATTTTATCGCAGAATGGCAATAGAACAGCGTGCAAAGACTACAAAGAGACCGGACGCAATTCCAAAGTTGCCGAACGGCCGAAAAGCTAGAATTGAACGAATGTTCCCAAATAGAAAATAATGTGATATTTTTATTTATTATATAGGTAAATATATAAGTACTTAAGTTAATTTTATAGTCGCTTGTTAGAAATTTCTTTTACCTGATTATTTAAGAATAACTGTTATAATTTATATAAATATATAGTGTCACAGAAGTTATATAAAGACAATAATATGTAAAATTATTATTGATTACTAAATTGATATTATGTTTATAATATTCGAATGATAAAAGTAATGCACGAAAATATAAACACTTTGCGCTTAAATTTATTACGATATAAAAGCCATAAGCAAATTTTTAAATTAAATCAGTACAAAATATTTATCAAATTTTATATTAGTAGTTAAAATTGTGAGTATTACACATATGTATAGATTTTTGAGTTCCATCAATAAAGTAATTTTGTATTTTGGAGACATATTTACTTTTTGTAAGCAAAAATCCGTATTTATGTGATATTAGACCGCATAACGACGATTTAAGTTTATTTTTAAGCATAAAACATACATTTATGATTAAATTTATGATTAAATTCATATTATAAAAACAATTTTTGCATTAATTTTAAATATAAATCAAGATATTAGGTTTTGAGTCAATCAATTATCTTAATTGGTTGATTTTCTTCTATTTGTTAAACGATTATTTTTCCCGTGACATACTTTGAGGCAAAATTTATTACCATCATCATTTGTACACTCAGGTTCTTTATCTTCTGGAAATGGAGTATCAAATAAAATCGTGTTGTACTTGGTGCACGTGTAGTAGTCCTCATGTACTGGTCTCGTGCAATCTACCATTAGATTCAATTGGTCTCGTTTGGCCCTCAAACCAGATTTATAATTGAGAGGCGTCGGTGTATTGGTGTAGTTTTCTCTTGTTGTCTGCATGGAAGTATTCTTTAAGAAAGTCGTTTGCAGTGCTACGCCTACTTTCGAATATGTTCTCAACGTTTGCATAGATTTCGATTTTCCTCGGCTTAAATTGGCCAGCTGTATCGCCTCCCGACGCATATCCCATACATTCCATTTGTATTTTTTAACTATCCTCGTTTCGTATAGATGAGTCACAGTTTGTATTTCTACGTCTCTTAGTTCTTTGTGATCTGGTTTTGGAGCTAGTTCTTGACATAATCTCAGTGCATGGTCACTCATGTTCAATATAAGCTCTTGTATTTCGAATAAACCAACCAATTCTGGCTTACCACGTATTACTTCTAAGGCGCTGTACAAATACCTGTCGGGAGTCCTACCAAATGCTTCAATTGCTTGCCGGGTACTAAAAGCGTAGTATTCTGAACGATGTTCCAGCACACCCAGTTCCGGGTTTGCAGGAATCAAAACACCCCGACAATGAACCAGATACCAAATACAAAATCCATTAAATTTTAAATAAAAATCTTCTTTTTGGGACACTTCATCGTAGTTTAATAATATACATTTGAAATCTGTTAAATCTATATTTTCTTTTGGCATTTTCTGCAACCACTCATTTCGTGTATAAATAGGTTTGTCACCTAGCATTGCATGCATTATTGGAACTTTGGCAACCATCAGGTTGGAAACTGATTTTAATTTTAAACATATTTCATTAGTTTCCATAATTATAAATAATTGATTTTGAAGATCAAACCACGAGGACGCTATATTGTAAAACAAAGGATATACGGTAGAAATGATTAAAGCATTTTTCTTATCCACGACTTGTATTGCAGTCAACAAATTTTGTTTATATTTAAGCAAGCTATTTTGTATGTTTTCACCTACTTGTTCAAGGCGCAATTTTAATCTTTTCAGAAATATTTCATACTGCCTTTGCAATATAAGACGATCACGCGTGTTTTCGATATCTGTTAGAGATAAATTAGGTTGCACTCTAAAATTTACTAATAGTCTTCTATCATCTATTTCAGTAGAGTAAAGAATAGCCGTTGTATGCGAGTCCAATATATCTTGAAGTTCACCTAATGAATTATTGAGTAATGTCTTAGATTTTGCGAACGCTGAATCCAGCTCAGAAGGCACATCGAGGATTCCCGAACCAGAACTTCTGCCAAATTCCTTGTTCAATAACCGTATTCCTGACACCAAGTGGGTCAATTCATGTATATAACGAATTTTTTGAGTTTCGTCTGATTCTAGGAAAGAAGCAATATCAGCCAAGCTTGCTATGCTGCTCAAGGCTGTTAATCCTTCATTAAAAACATCCATGCGGGATGGATGACCCATTTGCGATTCAAGCAAAATATGAACGGCTAATTTTCTTCGAAATTGTTCAAGAGATTCTTTATTATTATTTGTTACGTTTAAAGTCTCATTTATAATTTCGCGTGTTAAAGGATATAAGTAATTACTTAATGATTCATTATGCATTTTTATTGACTCACTTATGGTATTGCAGAATTCTTTGCAATTCAATTGCATTTTTAACGTGGACATTTGCGGAGATTCGTCATCTGGAATAGCTAATTTACTAACCACATGATTTACAAATAATTCCAATGTGTCTCTCTTTACCACGCCCTCGGATGAAATTCCCATATCGATATCCAAAGCGAATAACTTTGTTACTTGTTGGACTAATGATTCTTCAACCTCCAAATTTCTAGCGATGCATTCTCTACATATTTCTTGCACAACGTTTTTGAAAACGTTATCGTTTTCAAATGCTCGCTCCATTTTGATATCTGAACAAAATTGTCTAAAGTATATAAAATCAAAAAAAAAGTGTAATATAAAACTAATATTTTAGTAAATCATTTGTTATTTAAGGCATTTGTTTCACTAATAATCCGAATACATTTAATCTATGCGCTTTTTAGTTGGAAACAATATTTTATGTATCCGAATCTGTTTTTATGTTCTCCAAAAATATTACACATCATTGAAAAAAAGTAATATATATTAATACTATAATTCTATAGTATTAATATATAATATTAAAAATTAGTGTAATGTGAATACAATTCGATAGAAGAATTTAGGATGCCAATTGAGAATAGAAAAACGAAATTTATACTGGATGTAGGCAGCAAGAAATATGAACTACTCATTTTGCATTTAATAACTAAACATAAACAGATGAATAACGATCTGAAAATCAAATTACAAGAAGAATGCTTTAAATTTCTTTATAAAACTTTATTATCAAATTATCTATCACCAATAAAATTATAAAGTTGTCAATTCAAATACCCATTTTTGGGTTTTTGAATCGGTACATTTAGCTGCATATACAAAGTCTTGGGATTTTAATCGTCCGGCATCAAGGCATAAATTTGAAGCTATATTTCGAATTTGTTTGTCTTTCGTATACTCCCATTTTTGATCTCTATCACGACTCATGCAGGGAGACATTGTGACTTTATGTTCATTATCATCAGCACTGCTTTTGATATTAGCACAGCTCTCAAAAGTTCTTAAAATTCCTTTGTGTGTTAGAGCAATCATCTGACTAGGTTTAACAGTATTATGACAAGTATAAACACCCATTTTAAATATGCTATCAGAACTATGTTGTAAATTATCTAAGCACAACTGCATAGCATTGTTCATCAGCATACCATAATATTTCGAATGCTCTGTTGGAACAAATAAATCTGGATAGACATTTTTCAAATACCATTTAAATGACTTACATTTTAATTTTTTTCGTAAAGTTTTTCTATGTGTTAAATCCCCAATATCTGGATGATACCGCAAATCTGGTCTATGTAAGAAATACAAATCAGAATATTCATCCATCCAAACCAAAGCAAGTCGAGCTGTATTTATTCCATGCGTGTCTTTGTCATTTGGAAATTGATAAGGATGAAAATCTCTAAATATATGTCCAACCCTAGAACAAGGGATAGTCTCTATTGTACCCCCACATTGCCAAATTCTAAAAGACATTTCTAAGTTCTCACCACCCCAACCATCCATTTGTTCATCATATGAACCTATTTCCCAGAAATATTTTCTTGAAATCGCTAGAAGACCACCTGCCATAGTTGGAGAAAAAGTGGGGGATGTAATTCCATGACGATCATCAGACTTGCTCTTTTTACTATTCTCTAATTTTCTTATTCGTCTTACTTCTCTATCAGGAATGTCAATCCATGTGAAATGACCATTCCAAGAAAAACCTCCTACTTGGAAAAAGTCTCCATTATTGCTGTATTTAAGAGTATCAGAAGCTATTACATCAATTATGGGCACAAGCACACTTGTTGGGGATTCTCGAATCCGATGAACTAGAGGTTCCAACCACTGAGTGACAGCTTCACAATGGGCATCAAGAAATATAATAACTTCTTCTCGGGCTAATCTTGCTCCAGCTAATCTTGCTCGGATAAGACCTGATCTGTTTTCTAATCGAATAAGTTTGAGTAAATTTTTAGAAAATCTTGTCTTAATATAATAACTAAGTTTGCCTTGCAATTCTGTATCAGTGCTTGCATCATCCACTAAAATTATTTCTTTTAAAATGTTGCTAGGTGATGTATTCAACACACTCCATATCGTTCTCATTAATACTGAATATGGTTCATTGTGAAATATAATTATTACACTCACAGTTGGAAGAACACCATCAAATATCTTGGATTTACATTTAGGACTTCGAACATCAGGTGTTGTTCTGTTGTAACTAATTTTACTGCTTAAATAAGTGTTTAAAGCATGCTTTTTAAGAGACTCATCACCTAAGATTTTTTCTTCTTCGTCCA